ATCAGGTAAGAACTGTCCTATTTAATGTAGCATATAAGTCCCCCTTGCCAGACTCTTCATGAAAATAGCAATGACGTGTTTCTAACTGAACAGTCTGAAAAATGCTTCCAAGAATAACCCATTTGTTGCAGGCAAAACAGATGCGACACTTATGGGGGACTCAAGCTGTTTTTTGTTTCTGTCACTAATGAAAACCTGATGTCAGACTGTGTACAAGCACTTTGGTTTTCAGCTTTTTCTTGCTACAGCAGAAAGATTGGGAGTCTGTGGCAGCTGGGCTTGGGTGTGATGGCTTCAGCCGGCCATCATGTATTGGTATTCTTTCTGGTTACCCTACACATACCAGATTCTTTACAGTTCTTAGGTGTCCTCAGCCTTGACTTAGGCCAGGCTACCAGAACAGGTAGCCAACTGATCTTTTCCCAAATGGTTCCTCATTCTTTCTCTCATGCCAGTAATGTTATGCCTGGGGTCTTTGTCCCCTTCTCGCACTTCTGTCTTCACCCATCCCCTACCCATCTTGGTTGTCATTAGGTTTATTAATTGTGGATGCCTCAGGCGTCTCAAAACAGATCGTGTGCAGAAACACCTCGCATTGCAGTTAGTTCATGTCACCTAACTGGCTGCTGGGACAGAGAGCTGCCTCTCACCTGTTCTGTGCTTTGAGGACTCCCCTGGTTCATTCCAGCTCCTAATCTGTCAGAGCTGGTCATGAACTTCTTGGATCATGGGGCTACCTAAGGTCACTCGCCTTTGGGGCGTGTGGTTTACTATACCACTATGCCTTTGTAGCACTGCTTTGCAGATAAAGCAGATGTTCTGCGAGGACAGCAACGAGGGATCTGACATCACACACATACCCACACCCTACCCACCATGTTTCTCTGCAAGGGTGGGATTTCTGAGAGAAATTAATTGCTGAGGTAAATCAGTGCAGGTGCATTGCTGACAAAGCAAAGTATAACTAGAAATACTGCTTACATAAACACCTGAGAGACTGAATCTGCATCGTATACATAGTGACAGAGATGCCATTTCTTTTGCTGCCCTAGACTGAAGTGCTCTAAGCCACCTCCCTGAAATCTATGGCAACTAAAAGTTTTAGAAAGTGAGACTGCGGAATGTTGTAATGTTTCATGGGTACATGATACAATTAGGCACATAGAAAACCCTTTCCAAATGTTACAATAACTTTATGGCTACCGTGCAAATGAAAAGGCTGGAGATGGCTAAATGCGAAGTTTGGCTTTCTTAGAATGGTCTTCTATTTCTGCTGCCTTTCATGATTGTTTTTAACAAACACAGCTTAAAAAAAAAGAAGATCTTAAATGCCTTAGAATGACTTTATTTTTCACCCAGTAAGAGTGGAACTTTAATGAATCTCTTGTTTTTCTATCTTATGCCATGTACTTCTTGATAGATATTCCTCCAGATCCTACAGTACTACAGGGTCTTTTATATTCTCTATAAGCTCTTGAAGATTCCTTACTCATTAAGATATTCCCTTTGGCAGGATCTTTTGCAGCTGCAGTATGAAGGTGTTGCTGTCATGAAGTTGTTTGACAGAGCAAAAGTGAATGTCAATCTTCTGATCTTTCTTCTGAATAAGAAATTTTATGGGAAGTAACCAACCTCTGCCAGCAACTCCTCTGCGAAATGGGAGATGAATAGAAACCTGCACGTACAACTTCTAATGATGTAGCTATGTATCAGTATATGCCCACGCTGTGCTATAAATATATCAAATGCATCATAAAGGAGGACTAAGAACCTCTTGTGAATTGACAGCCCTGATTGAGTTTGCAGGGAGTTGGTTTCCTTTTTATTTATAATCTTTATCTTCAGCTTTGAAGATCCCCTTTAAAGAGGTTATTCTAGAATGTATTTTTACATGGGATTGGGGGTTAAGCTAATACTAGAATATACTTAGGGCATTTGTATGCTTTATTTGGCTAATCGTGTGCTTTGTGAAGGTTGAATTCTTGGTGCCTGTGGAAAAAAAACCCCTGGCACTGCAGAGTGGTCCGTTTGCCTCTTCCTGAAAGCAAAAAAAGGGTTGCAGGTTGTATTTGGGCTCCAATTATTCTCAAGCAGCAATGACCACAATAAAACATGCTTGAGGTTCAGGTTATTCATTTGTTTGAGCTGGCATTGGTAGAGATGGCAGCGGCCACTTGCCAAGATAGAACTACTGCGATTGGGGGAATCAGTAGGTGTCATAAATAGTTACTGAACTAGTCCTGATTATGTACTACAGCCACATAGAACAGCTTCAGTGTCTCATTTGTCTTGATTTGCTTCTGTTTATCACACTGCAATAATTTACGGGTGGCTGCTTAAGTGGAGGTATCATGGAATGTATTTACTAGTGCTTACAGATAAAAAGAAGCTTCTTGGGGAAGGGAAGGAAGCTTAAAAAATTCCTTGAGACGCTAACTTTTAATGTTGCCTGCAAAACATCTGAAATGTACCAATAACTTTATTTTTCCAGTTTAGAGCAATGTTCTATATATCTGTGTTTGATGCAATAAACATTAGGCTCTACCTGCAGACTTGTTGAAGGAAGACTATTTCAAATAGGTTAGCCTGTAAAAAAGTTAGTGTTTTCCAACTCTACTTAAGTTCCTGTTTCTTTTATTACTTTGCGGGGGTTTTGTTTGTTTTTCTTCACCATGGTGGTGGTGCTGGCTGTTCTGCTATATCCAATAAAAATGCAGACTCTTAAAAAAATATCATCTGATCTTTAAATTCATCATTTGCTTCAGGTCTTGCCCCAATTTATTTCTTTTGTTTTTAAGGGACATACCTGTCAATTGCAAATTTCAGGTTATTCATAGGTCACTTATGTTACTTGTTCAGCCCCCCAAACCCTCTCGCCGGACGCCCGCACAGCTCCGGGTACTACCAGTCCCGCGGCGTCCTCCGGGACCACCGGGAGCGAGCTGGGGATGGGGGGGGACCCGGACTGGATTTAGCCCAGGCCAACTCCAACCACTCCCCCTCGCTGCTCCATCCCACACCCGGGGGGAATATTGATATCGTGTGGAAATACTCCCCTTCCCTGCTACTCCGTCCTTCCTTACGCATCCACGGAGCAGGTTTGCTCCACCCTTTGTTCCCAAGCACAGCTCTCCAGCCCGAATCCCAGCTCCCACAGACACAAACTAAACACACCCAAGGCAATGGTTCTATCAGCTCCTGGCGTTCCGAGCTCCCCCTTCCCGGGCATGCTCATGCCAACACTCATAGCAATCTCCCGGCACCATCTGCAGGGCCCCCCGGGACCGAGCGGGGCGGGGAAGGGACGGCACCGGAGCGGAGCGCAGGCCAGGCGCTGCGCCGCCATGCCAGGGGCCCTCGCGCCACGACCAGGGCTGCCCGCACCGCTGCCTGCCGCCGCCCGCGAGCCTGCCGCCCCCGCCCGGCGCCGCCGAGCGCCCCGGCCCGTCCCCACAGCGGGAAGCACCGCGGCGAGACGGCGCTGCGAGCGCGGGGTGGGGCTCGGGGACAGGGGGAACGGGGACGGGGGAGAAAGTCAGGCAACATGATAGACGCCTCTCTGAGGGGGTGGGGGGCCTCGCGCCGCCATCCTTGGTGTGGCTCTCGACACATTCCGATCGCGGCAGCGCCGTCTTTGGTGTGGCGCTCTGCTAATGCGGGGCAGGGCGGCGCCGGCCTTAGGGTGGCCTTGGAGGACTGCCGGTCAGGGCGGTGCCAGCTTTAGTGGCACCAGTCCGGTTTTCCCCCCATTCTGCACCACGGGAAAAAGCCAGTCCAGGTTTTTGCCCGTTCCGCACTCCGGGAAAAATCCAGTCCGGGTTTCCCCCATTCCGTACTCCAGCAGAAATCCAGTCCGGGTTTTCCCCCATTCCGTACTCCGGGAAAATCCAGTCCGGGTTTTCCCCCATTCCGTACTCCAGGAGAAATCCAGTCCGGGTTTTCCCCCATTCCGTACTCCAGCAGAAATCCAGTCCGGGTTTTCCCCCATTCCGTATTCCGGGAAAAATCCATTCCAGGTTTTCCCCCATTCCGTACTCCGGCCGAAATCCAGTCCGGGTTTTCTCCCCCCCCTCCCCCCCCTTTCCCCGCCATTTTCCCTCCGCTCGCTCCCGGTTTTCCCGGAGGACGCCGTGGGACCGGCTGTACCCGGAACTGTGCGGGGTCCGGCGGGAGGGGCTGGGGGGCTGCGGTGGCGGCTCAGGGCTCGGCTCGGCTCGGCTCCGCTCCCTGGAGTATTAAACTTGGGGTGATCTGGTCGGTAGAGACTGAGTCTTTGGAGGTAGATTGAGGTTGTCAGCAGTGGAGAGGAGGGGATCATTTTGGGGTCTCCCTTGGGTTGCTGCTTTGTCCCGTGGCTGCAGCGAGGCTGAGCCCTGTCCCTGCTGTTGCAGGACCGTCCCGGGGCGGGGGCTGTGCGGCAGAAAGGGCAGGGGGGGCTGTGGAGCTGCCCCGGGGGGCGCGGGGGGTCCTTTGCAGGCGGCGGCGCTGTCGGGGCTGCAGTACCGGCCGTGTCCGCCAGGCGGAGACTGCGGGGCAGGTACTGCGGGACACGGCCCGGGGTGGGGAGGGGGCGCCGCGGGTGGGACCCCCTGCGGGGGGGGAAATGGTGCCCCTGAAATGGGGGCCTCTGCTGGGCTATTGCACTGCCACCCCTCGTGTTTGGGGATGAACCCTCTGGGGAGCCATGGGAACAGCAGGGTGAGAGCCAGGAGCCTTTGACTTCCACAGAGCACTGAATTTCCCTCTGCTCTCTTTCAGGACAGGACAAAGCATTGAACTGGGAGAAGTTCTGCCAAATCTTTGGGGTGTGAGCAGCCACAGGCAAGAGGCTCCAGCCTTGATGCCCCAGAGAGCATCACAGCATTAATGGCCTGGCCTGTGCCCACTGCCAATTGTTGACCCAACAAAATTCCAAAGCAAGTGTTGCTTCCGTTTTAAGAACTGAAAATATCTTTAAAGCCAAAGAAATCACCATTTCCTTGGTCTTGTTTCCTTTTAGATGGTGGAATTGCCAGTCTGTCCGTGAGCTGAGCTGTGGCTGCAGGGGACTGTCAGGCATTATTGGCTGTGAGTTCCTGTTCTTCTCCCTGGGAAACTGGAAATCATTCTCAGTTAGGTTGCAGAAATGTTTTCTGAAGCCTTTTGCCGATAGATTTCCTCTTTCTGCCTTGGGATTTGCAATCGTGGAGAGGATCAGAAAGGCCCTGAGATCAAAGGGCCCCCCCTGTGTCCCCAGTTATGGGTTAACAAAGCTAAAATGGGAAATGTAGAGGAAGGAAAAGTGTGGGGGTAAAACTGAATGTTATTTGTAGGGGAGAGAATGACCAGTGAGAGGTAAACTGAGGCCATCAGCCCTGGGCAGGTAAGGAAAGCTTTGGGGGTAAAACTTGAGAAACTCTCAAGGATAGAAAATGAACCTTTGGAGGTAAAAATGAGTTAATCAGAGGTGTGCAGGAAGAGAAAAGTTTAGGGGTTAAATCTGAGGGGATCTCTGGGAGAGAGAATGAAGATCTTGTCTTAAAAAAAGTGGTGATCAGTTGTGGCTGGAAGGGCAGGTCTTGGGGCTTAAAAAGGAGTTTGATTCTCTGCAGGCAGTGAATGCAAATGTTGAGGTGATCAGCAGTGGAGAGGAGGGGATCATTTTGGGGTCAGACCTTGGGCAGGAACTGAACTCAGGAGCTCAGCTGCTCCTACCCCAGAGAGCATCACTGAAATCAGCATTATTGCCCTGACCTGTGCCCACTGCCAGTTGTTCACCCAACAAAATTCCAAAGCAAGTGTTGATTCTGTTTTAAGAACTGAAAATATCTTTAAAGCAAAATAAATCACATTTTCATTCGTCTTGTGTCCTTTTAGATGGTGGAATTGCCAGTCTGTCCGTGAGCTGAGCTGTGGCTGCAGGGGACTGTCAGGCATTATTGGCTGTGAGTTCCTGTTCTTCTCCCTGGGAAATTGGAAATCCTTCTCAGTTAGGTTGCAGAAATGTTTTCTGAAGCCTTTTGTCGATAGATCTCCTCTTTCTGCCTTGGGATTTGCAGCTCTTCCGCCCTGGAGAGGGTCAGGAGCAAGGCCCTGAGATCAAAGGGATCTCCCTGTGTCCTCAGGGACCTACAGGGGACAGAATGGACACTCTGGGGTCATATCTGTGTTAGTATGTAGGGGACAGAATGAACATTTTGGGGTTAAAATGAGGGAATCAGTAGTGGACAGGCGGGGAAAATATTGGACATAAGTCTTGAGGTTGTCTGTAGAGGACAGGAAATATTTTGGAGGAAGATTCGTTGTTCCGTTGTGCTGCACTCTGTACTCAGTCAGGGGTCAGTTCCAGAAATTTCCTGGGCAGCTACAAAAATGATCTCTGAAAAGTGTGAAAATCCCACTGGCAAAATGCAGAGGAACAGGTATTCTGAACCTCTCCTGCCTCTTACAGAGCAAACGTGGTAATCCCAGGTCTCTCTTGGAAAAATCTATGACCATAAGGTTTCCCAGGAGAAAAAAAAACCAAGGACAGAGATGAGGAAATGTGCTCCCAATGAATAAGGATTTGATGGGTGCAGGAATGATTCGTGTGTGTTTTCCACTCCCCTTTTTATTCCTGGAATAACCTTAAAATTATTCTTTAAGAGACCGACCAAACTGGAGAATTTGAATTAGAGAGGAAGCGATGCACAACAAATGCAGGGAGAAATGATGGAATCATGATGGAATCCTGGAGTGATTCGGGTTGGAAGGGATCTTAAAGCTCATCCAGCCCCACTCCCTGAGCAGGGACACCTTCCCCTAGCCCAGGCGGGCCCTGGTCCAGATGGATATGGAAGTGCTGCAGGTGTTTAGGGAATGCTGATAGTTTTTCCCCCACCTCTGGCCATCGGGGCGTTAAAAAGACTAATTCACCTCTTCCCACAGGGAAAAACGCTGGAGCAGAGGGAGGGAAGGAGCAGGGAGAACTGCAGCCCCCAGCAGCTCGGTCAGTGCCGGATGGACTCGGGGCTGGGAAAGGTCACTCAGTGTGAGGGCAGGTGAGATCCCAGGGTGGCCCTGGCAGCCCTGGGGCTGGGAACAAGTCCAGTGGGCAAAGGAATGGACCCTGGAGAGCTGGGCAAACAGCTGGAGGAGTTTCAAGGAGAAGCAGGAAACTGGACAAGTTGCAGCAGCTCCTTCTGTGTGTGTGTGTGTAACCAGGTCTCGTGCAGCCACGAGTGAGGTGGGAAATGAACCTCAGCAGGCTGGGAATGAGTCCCACAAACTGGTTACAATGGGATTGAGTCTTCCCAAGTGTCTGAAAAGCTTTACTTTAGTTTGGCTTTATAAATTGAAAATTGAAGTGATTGTCAAGGTGTTGGCCCTTGCTGTCCTGTGTCTTTGAAGTGTTGGCTCGGTACCTTTATTGGAGCTGCTGCTGGATGAACAGGTGCTCCTAATTTGCCTTTAAGGTCCTGGTTTCTTCCCTTCTTCTTCCAGCTTCTCCATCCAGGAGATGGAATTCCAGTGCTACAGTATAGATGGCTCGTGGTGCTCCTAAAAGGAGG